ATGCCCACAAACTGGCAGGGAGGTTGTGTAAGCACCCACTGGCCCACTGGCCTGAAACAGATTAACAGAATCAGCACAGGTAGCACACCCCAAAGAGAGAGATTGCTTGGATGCTGTTGTACAAAACACTACAGAACTTTTAAGGGAGAAATCCTATATAAGTCCCATTTAACTCAAGGGCACTTACTTCTGAGTAGTCATCTTTGAGAGGGGAACAGCTTTCCAGACTTCCTGAATTATGTAACCAGGAATATGACCTTCTCCTTTCTGCTAAGTTTCCTATCTTCCCTCATTGGCTCAGACAAGGCTCTTCCATACACAACTCCATATTATTAGAGATCAGGAAGGACTTTGCCTAGTCACAGTGTGAGATGATGAAGATGATAATGCCCCCTGCCATGAACAGCACTCAAATATTCTCATGGCTAAAACATGGCATTTTACAGGGCTGGTCTTGGAATGTTGCCATTTACAAATATGGAGTGAAAGCACATGAAAATAAGGTGACATTGACTCCAGTACTCTCTTTCAGAACTTCTACTATGAGAGACTTTTTGAACTTTCTCCTTGTAAGAGCTTTATGACCGAGAAGAGTCTTTGCAACTTTCAGCAGTGTTGCTGTTCCACGGTGCTCAGGAACACACTTCCCATGGCAGGGGACTATATTCCTCTGTGACCAATATAGGCCTGATTTTGTGCTGGAATGACCCTGCCTCTACTGCAGACCAGCTCAAGGACTAAAGTTAACAATTTCTGAATTAAGCTGCTCCTGCAGCCATCCCTTTAAAAGCAGTTTGATCTGCAGCAATTAGCAGATGGTTCTGTTCAGTTCCACACCATGAAAAGCTTCACCTGCTGATTGGTATACTTCAGATAGTTCCTGTTAAAAGGCAGGAGCAAGCTAAGCCACTTTTTTCTGGCCAGTTGGCATCACCATCTGCCCCACTGCATCCTCCCAAACTGGACTCTGCTCCCAGGCATCTCACAACTACCAGCAATTTTTATTTCAAGACTGGGCAACCCGAGGCAAGAAAGTTAGGTTTCTTTAGAGTCAGACCCTGTGGGAGCCATTACTTTAAAGAATGCTTACAGAGAGAAAAATCAGTGCTCAGGGTTAAGCTTTCAGTCAAGCTGAGCTCTCTCTTTTTAAAAGAAGTCAGATTTCAAATGTGTGGAACGGTACCTATTAAGTGCCTTCACGGTGAATACAGTCAGATGATCAGAACTGTTTGCTAAGTGACAGTTACAGTTTCTCAAAAATCAAATGCCAAGTGCCATGGAAATCTAATTTAGAGAAACGGCTTGGCAAACAAACCTTTCATTTAAACAATTGTGACCATTCAACCAGCTTTACGTTCTTGAATTTAATAAGTTAGCAACATTAGGTGTGTTTTTTAATGGAGCTAATTGAAACCACTAATTTACTGACGTCCAGATGGTGAGGAAAGATGATGACTGTGTTATAAAGACAGAGGCAAGATAATAGGAGAAAGTGGGAAGCATTAACTGTCCAATCCTGTTCAAGATTAGTCAGAGGTAATTCCAATTTTATACAATGGGGTTTCCTTCCAAGTAAATGTACACAAGGGTAGTGTAAGATCCTTAGCAAATTTTATTACCTCTTTATAAAAAACAGTCCTTCTATTAAGCCTTGATCCAAAGTTCATTGTATTTAATTCCCATTCATTTCAGTGTGAACTAAAATAAGTCATGACCAATTTGTTTTATTTATTTCAATGGGACCCCAGCTCAGCTAACAGTCTGGATCCAACCCTTTTTCTTTTTTACCCTCCTCATACCTTGGAGGCAGCCAGAATATCATTGTTCCTAAACTGAGCTCCATAGTTTATGGTAGACTATTATATTATTATTTGATATAGATATTGTTTAAAACAAAGCAGATGGATCTGAATTATATCAGAAATAGCTGGTTCTTCAGTACAAAAACTTCCTTTAAGGAAACTAGCCAACACAAATATGCTCTGGCCTGCGCCACAACTGTAAACAACTGCTGGTGAGAAACACAGAACAGCTGCACCATATTAGTAGAAGAAAGATCAGGAACAGTAACAGTAACCTAGCAATTCAAAACCCTCACATTTTATTGCTGGACAAAAGTTTAAAGATGTCACAAATCAGACTAGCCTAGTGGTTCTGGGCCAATGTATTGGCCTGCTGTTTGCTGAGTTATTGTGACATCAAGTGTCCTGCTTTACTGGAAAAAAGCAATGGCAGTCTTTACTGCTAGGTAGTGCTTATAGATGGTCAGTCCTTTTCCCTTCTCTTGCTTTGGGTGCATGAAGTTCTGCGGCTCAGAAAGAGCAGGAATCTAAAGAGGGAGGGCGGACCTATTGAGAAAGGTGAAGAAGCAGCAGGGAACAAGAGATCCCATGGTAGGAGGTGGACAAGGAATCCACTTTCTGCTCAGGTTCCCAGGTGAGTGCTGCAGTAGTTCATCACAGCCCAGAGCTGGCATCAGAGGTTGGTTGTGGATGGGCCTCACACCTTCACCAAGAACCCATAGCCCATACAGGTTCATCACAATTGTCACTTGCTCACACCCACCCCTGCTATTTCCTTCTACCCGCACCCCCAAAAGGCAAGTAAATGCTGACAGTGAGGAGGAGGAACAGCTTCCCAATCCAGTTCTTCCTAGCAACATTTATAAAGGGGGAGATGTCCGGCAGCATTGGTAATAACAAGTAGCTCCTGATTCACTGTTGCCACCACAGAGTGTGTCTTCTTGCCCAAGGGCCTTCCAAGCCCATGAGCTGGCACTGCAGGAGAGGATGTAAAGGCTGTGGGTGCGACAAGTCAGCCGGTCTGGTGGCTAAGGGAAGAGAGCCTATCAGTCCTTGAACTCCTGGGTCAGGTACATGGTGAAGTTCACTGTTTTACCTAGAGCAATCTTTCTTTTTTCCTGTTGAAGGTCACATTCTCTCATGTGTTATCTGTTGGAGGGGCCCTTTCACCAGTGGTGGGCCAAGCCAGAGTTGATGATGAGCAAAACTAGAGGTGCCGTATGGGGTTTGATGGGCTTACTCACAAGTAAGTATACAGAACACTTTTTGGGGTACCAATACAGCCACTGTTCTTGAAAGCAAGTGATTGTCATTCCTTCTGACTGATGCTCTCTCTTTTTATCTTATTTTAGAGAGAGATATAGATATTGATGCACACATCTGACAAGAGCCTACCAATTTCTCTCAGCATGGGCTGTGAGGGGGAATTTATTTTCCCCAAGCCATACAACCAATAAACAATTAAGCCCCCAAAAAAACCCCTTCCATCAAATTATTTTTACCAGATAAATACTACCCTTTTGAAATGTCCCAAAAATACATATAAAAAGGGTGGGACTAAAATTACTGGAAAAATAAGGAGATAGAATGGGGCAGCTGCGACCAGTGGTGTCAAAAGTGTCTGGATACAATTCAAGTCAGGACTAAAAATGATTCATCCACACTCAGTTTGAAGGGTACAATGGACTAGGATCAATGATGGAGTTACTATAGTCACCAAATAGCTAAGCTGTAAACAAAAACTGACTGTGGGGGTTATAGCGAAGAGAATGCCAACACTTGGGAGGCCTCTCTTCCAGTCCAAATGTTTTCCCTAAAGTTACCTTGCTCAGAAGCAATTGGAAGTGGCAGTTTAAAACCATAACAACTAACTTCACATTTCCTTTTATCAAAAAGAAAGGAAAGAGCCAGGAAAGAACGACGTATATGCTTGTGGGGACAGTGGAGGAAGTTATTTAAGTTAGGCATTGATGGCCTGCTCAGTAGCAGGCTTTATGTGTTAGAATGCTGGACATTCACACTCGGTCTCCCTTGGACTGCAAAAAAAAAAAAAAAAAATCCATTACAGAACGTCTGAGTGAAACTTCCTCACAACCCACCTTTTCCATCAAGCCTTTGGTTGGTTCCTGTGCCCAACTGTAACCTACCCTGTAACTAAACCCAAGCACCCTCCCTCCTCTTCTCCAGTGCCTCAGTACAGAAGCACCATTTGCTTGCAGGCAGGAAATACATTAAGGTGTCTCTTGAGGTATGTTGGGGTAAATGCTTAGGGTGGGTCTCAATCCTGGCCCCACACTGACTAGCCAAGAGTACCTCAGATTGGTCTGTTAGTATTATGTAGCAAGAGCAAGCAACAAACCTATTCCCTAAAAGCCCAATATCCAAGCCCAGAATCTTGTTCTCACCTTCAGACAAGGGATTCCTCTCCCTGGAATTGTGTGCTAGAATCAGAGCAGCTGTGGGTCGTTTGGGGAGGCTTTCAGCCATATGAGAAGTTGCCATCAGGAAGCAGCCTTATGGTTGCATTTATAGTGAGGTTGGTAGTGCTTCACATATATCACCTCAGTCGTCCTTACCACAACCTTTTAAGAAAGGTTAGTGTCATCGATTCCAATATTGCATAAGAGGTTTTGTATGAGGTTGGACTTAATGAGACCAGGGGTCTGCCAACCTTTGAACTGGGGACCTCCCAGCTTACAAACCATAAATTGTTTGGAAAGTCTGAAGTTTGGTCCAGTCAGTATGGAAAAAAATGTGTTCTGGGTCTGGGTCTCCAACTACAGTTGTGAGGAAAAAATGGGAATGGACTGGGCAGGCACATCTCTTTGGCTGTCTCCACGCAAGGCACACTGAATGTTTTATCTTTCTTTGGAAGAGGGGAATTTTGGCAGATAGTTTCTTCAGCCAACCTCGCCTCTTTTGACTTAAGGGAAATACAGCCCTACTTCAGTGGTGCAATTTGGTGGTAACTGACTTAGGAGAGGGCCTCCTGGGCTTTGCGAGTTGCCGCCTCTTTTTAGGCGGGAAAGTGGTAAGGCGGGCCTGCTGCTGCTGCTGCATTTTGCGGCCGCCCTGCTCATTCTGCTGCGTGAGGTCCAGCCCAGGACTTCGGGCCCCCGAGACCTGCCCCTCTTCGCCCGCCTTCCAGAAGTGACCTTGGAACTGAGCACTGCCCGGTTGGTGAAGGGGCAAGAAAGGCCCTCCCCGTCGCCCACTTCGCAGCCTCTGCAGCTAAGCCTCGGAGGAGGCACATGTTCTTTGGCGCGGCGCCAGCCAGAGCATCCCCGGCGCGCCCTTGCTGGGGGCCGCCTCCGCCTGGGCCAAGCCCTTCTCTACCGGGGCTGGGGTGGGGCTCTTTGCTGCGGGAGGGCCGGCCAGCGCCGGCGTTTCCTTGGGTTGCTCGTCCCCGCTCTCTTTCCTTCCCTCTCTGACCCCGTGGATTTGTCTCCCGAAGGAGAGGGCGCGAGAGGGGTGTGTGCGCGCGCGCTGAGCGACCTCTCCAGGCATTGCAGGGGTGCTTGGCGCTCCCGCAGTCAGGCGAGCAGCGGGCTTCGGTGAATCCTGCCGCCGCTCGCTTAGCTCCCGCCTTGCGGGAAGGGAGCACTCCCGCCCAAATTCCAACCCTCGGCTCAATCTCTTTTGGAAAGAAGCCACCGGCTTCTTTTTTTCCAGCTGGAGAACGAGAGGGGAGGGCGGGGGTGACTCAGGCTGCTGGCGCCGCCGCCGCTCCTCCATGAAAGAAGCTCAGCAAGAAGAATTGATTCCTTTGCCTCTCATCTCAGGCCGCCGGGGCAGAAAGAGAGAAAGGAGCGAGAGCATGCTGGTGATGCGCTGCTGCTGAGGAGCCCGAGCCGAGCTGCAGAGTTTGCAGGTCATTAGTGCTGCACCAAACTCCGGGCGAGGTAAGTGGCGTCGCTGCTGCTGCTGCACACAAAGCGCTCGGCAGCGTTTGGGAAGTAAGCCCGGGCGGGAACTGTGGTTTGTCGGGAGAGAATGGCAAACGCAGCAGGCAGTTTTCTCGGCAGGAGGCTCAGTTTTGTGTCTCTGTGCGGGCACAATGCAATGAGGCATGCTGTTTTTCTGCACCGAACGGAGCGCCTTAGTTTGATCCCTAGCAAACCTCGCTCGCTCAATGCGATCAGCGGGGCTGTGCTGCAGACTGGTATCGTGGCGGCCTTGATCCGTGGTCCGATCCCGGAGAACGAGAGGGACGAAAGTCACCAGGCATCTTTGCAAAGTTTGCGCCTCGGTTGCCTGTGCGTAGCCCCGGGGCTGTTTGGTTGAGCGTGCCTTCCTGCGGCGTGGAGCCGTCGTGGGTTTCAGGAAGGGGCCGGGAAACTCCAGTTTATCCTAGGAAGATGCTTTTCGGCCAGCCATTAAGTCTAGGGTTACGGGGAGCTGCTGGATGGAAAGGGATGGGATTGGGAAATCGGAATAATGGCAGTGGAAACAATGGGCGCAAAAACTGAGGCTGGGCTGCCAAAGTGTATTCAGGAGGAGCAGAGCTGCTTAGAAAGAGTCTAGGCGTGGGAGGGAAATGCATCAAGGGTAAGACGAGACCTAGTCTAAAAAAGAACACGAGCATCTCTATTAAAAGAATGGCTGGGGGCGGGAGGGGAGACCCCCACAAAAGCAGATCTCAACATTGTGACCTGAATTAATTGTGTTCCTTACAAATGAATCTCCAGTTCAGTTTCTAAGTGGGTGGCTTTGTGTTTCACATCCGATGCTTCAGTCTATTCAAGCACTCTGAACCCAGGAAAGCTTTCTGTTATTGCAGTTCATTTATTTGTGTGTGTGTAGATGTTCCTGGAAGTTTTCACCTCCTGGCTGGGACCACTGTTGAGAGCTTGCAAAGCTTTGTGATCTAGTTCAGGGTGACCTGCCAGTGATTATCTCTTAATGTACGTTCGTTTCTTTCTTCACATGGTTGGTGGCAAGAGCAAAAAATGTGGTGCTCACTTGCAAGCCTCCAAAGATACCTTTGACATGGGGATGATTGAAGAGAGGATGACTGACAGGCTATGATGACTGTAACCAAACTGTCTTGCCTCCACTTGGCCTTTGAAGAATGGAGCTACAAGATTGCTTTATTAAGAGAGTTAGGCTTTAGATACTTTCACCACTGTTGTCCCTATGTTCTGATTAAAGCTGTCATTTCATACATCTGTCTCTCATGTATGTGTGCATGCACGTGCACACACACCGTAGGGACATCTGGAGTGCTTTAGTTTTATTTCTTACCTTCCGAAGAAAAGTGCATGTGTCGTAGAAGATAGGCTGTGTAATATGGCATGAATAATGGATTGCTTTGTATGAGGAATTCTTTGCTCACATGTAAATGAAGAGCCTTTGGTGATGACAATTTCAGAAAAGCTGTTAGGTAGAAGGTGACAGTCACTTAAAAAAAGAAATTCTACAAAATATCTTTAAAGAGGAGGAAGGGGATTCCCTTCCATAAGCCCCGTTACAATTTTCTGTTGGGATAGGATTTATTTTAGAGCCCTCCTTTTTGGCAAGCCTTCAGTGTGGCTTGCAATTTATCCATAACAGTGTAATATTTAATTCCCGCCCCCCAACTGGTATTCCATACTTCTTGCTAGGTTATTAGGGCAAGTAGCAGGCACAAAGTTTTCTCTTCTCACCCTGCTAATAAGCCTGTGGAAGTGAGAAATACTGCTTAGCCCAAGGTCACCAGAGAACTGCATTGCTGAACAGTGGTTTCTTAACTAGGTTCTCCCTGGTCCAAGTAAAAAACTTTGTCCATTGCCGTAATACTGGCTTTATAATAATGCACACACTAGTGTTAAATAATACAACACACGGTCAGGATCAGGTACGGTCACCAAAGTGGTGTCATGCTAATTTTCCTGCTTCACCGAAAGATGCCAGAAATTAAAATTTATTGCAGTGTAACATACCTTTGATGAGAATGGTAATGACACACTCAACCTTTCCATAGAAAACCAACCTTCTCAGACAAATGTTGGACAATATCCTACCCCAGTGCAGAATTCACACAACAGTAGTCCTTGTTACACATAGTCCTTTAGGTCTGATATTGTTGACCAGCAAACTGTGGTGCTCCTTATGGTGTTGAACTCCACTTGCGTCATCCCCAGCCAACATGGTTAATAGTCAGGGATGGTGGGAGATATTGTTACCCCATCTACATCTCATGACATTGCCACACCCACAGTAGTTAATAATGGCCCCAAATGCTAGAAGCCGCTGGAAATTTACCATTTGCACTTGTCTTTCTGTAATCAAAATGCTCCTGGGACATAAATCCCCCCCCCAAATAAACTCAAAAGTTGCAGAGGGGGGTGCCCATCTAATGTAGAGAATTGGAGCTAAAAAAATTTCAAATAAAAACAAATGTCTGGAATAAGGAACAGTATTGAGTTTTCTTTCTGAAAACAAATGAACCCAGAGCATTAAATATCCTAAAGAAAGCAATTGTTGTTTAGTCGTGTCTGAATCTTCGTGACCCCATGGACCAGAGCACGCCAGGCACTCCTGTCTTCCACTGCCTCCCGCAGTTTGGTCAAACTCATGTTGGTAGCTTCGAGAACACTGTCCAACCATCTCATCCTCTGTCGTCCCCTTCTCCTTGTGCCCTCAATCTTTCCCAACATCAGGATCTGTCCTTCCCGTGAGCACTCAGGGCTGATTTCCTTAAGAATGGATAGGTTTGATCTTCTTGCAGTCCATGGGACTCTCAAGAGTCTCCTCCAGCACCATAATTCAAAAGCATCAATTCTTCGGTGATCAGCCTTCTTTATGGTCCAGCTCTCACTTCCATACATCACTACTGGGAAAACCATTGCTTTAACTATATGGACGTTTGTCGGCAAGGTGATGTTTCTGCTTTTTAAGATGCTGTCTTGGTTTGTCATCACTTTTCTCCCAAGAAGCAGGTGCCTTTTAATTTCGTGACTGCTGTCACCATCTGCAGTGATCATGGAGCCCAAGAAAGTAAAATCTCTCACTGCCTCCATTTCTTCCCCTTCTATTTGCCAGGAGGTGATGGGACCAGTGGTCATGATCTTCGTTTTTTTGATGTTGAGCAATTACATTTTGCATTTAGGGGTGCTGTTTTATCCCAGTAAAGGGAAAATGGACTAAAAATGTATTAAAGGGTCTATTCAAACCAAAAAGGATCTAGGAATGCAGATTTAAATGCCCTTTTTAAAATCACACACATTGATTTTGCTTTGCGACATTTTACTACCCTGAGGCACCCCAACAATGGAATTGATCTGGGTTAGTAAAATGCCTTTGTCCCTGTTTAGGAGTTTCAATCCAGTGCAAAGTTGCCTGGGTGTATTTTATTTATTTATTAAATTTCTATACCACCCTTCATCCAAGGATCATAGGGCAGTTTACAATATAAAAACACAAAAATACATACCATAATAACAAACACAATACTCCCCAGTTATTTATTTATTTATTTATTTATTTATTAAATACTGTAAATAATGTAAACTCCATTGAACACTGGGGCTTATTTTGAGTAAACATAAGATCGTACTTCATACAAGCGAAAAACATTTAAGAACTGTCTTCCTAAGAAATACATTGCAATGCTTAACACCCTATTTGATGCTATAAAGCATCCAAAAAATACCCTCAAAAGCTACTAGACCACACTCCTGCTTAAAGTCATTTCTGAAAGAAAAAACTACCAACTATTTTCCAGTTTCTCAACTATACCTTACTTGCCATCAGCAGCAAGTGATAATCTGCTATATAGAATATAAATACAACAGTGGTAATAATCTTAATTGTCCTTAGCTGTGGAGGAGAGGACACGCTTCTAGTGAGTCTCTGCATTTCTTAGGGAAGCCCCCTTTGAGGCTGCATTCAATTGTTCCCTCCCACCTACAGAGCCTCACATGGAATCTACATTTCACCTCACTTGCCATAAATAAGACTGCAAGTTCTATAGCCAACTATTTTCTATAGCTTTCACTGTCAGTTGATCATATTGGATTAAAACACACCAATATTTCTGGTTATCAAAGGGTAAAGGAATTGCATTTGGGTCTGAAATCTCATGCCGTCCTGTATAATTGAGAATCCATTTTTGCAAAGACAACTTGTATTCGGGACATTAGTTCAGAAAATGGCTTTTTGTTCAGATTCCTGCCAGTGGAAGAGGTTGCATGTAAGTATATTATAAGTGGAGGTATATGCATGCAAGGGTATGTGAGAGAAAGATTTCCACCATTGGAACTCAGTTGGATTTTCGTACACTAACGCATGAAGGTCATCTCCTTTTAGATTTGTTGCTTTATAAAGCAGTAGAAGCTGGGAACACATGCAGGTCTAAGTTGTTGTTGTTTTTTTAAAAAAATTAATCAGAGAGACTAGCCTTCAGTATATTAGGCCAATAATTCTTCTGTGTTGCTGATTTAAGATGTGGGATTCCGCTAGGTTTGGCTTTTCTTAGCCATGTAGGAAAACTTACCTTGAAGTGGCTTTTGAGGAATTGCAGCTTTCTCCGCCACAATTTTGCTGCTTGTTACACAGCAGGTTTGTGTTCTCTGCACCAGTGGTAGGATGAAAGTATGCTGCCAGATCTGGAAGCTCTCCTCCCCAAAACCCAATGTCTGTGACAGGAACTTGTGGCCTTCCAGATGTTGGATTCCATTTCCCATAATCCCTAGCCAGCATGGCAAATAGTCTCAGATGTTGGTCCACCAAAATCTGGAAGGCTATAGATTCCCCGCAATGAGTTAGCGTGGTTTCCCTCATGGTGAGAGAAGTTTCCATTGTACCTGCTTCAGAGAACTCTTTCATTTTCACAATGTGTTAAAGTTGAATTTTGACATTCAAAACAGGTTCCTCATAGCACCTTGGGCTAAACAGGAGTGGGGAACTTCAGAGTTGGGGG